GCTGAGTTAGATATTCCTTTCTTTATATAGCCCTTCGGCATTTTTAGCACTCTTAGTGAAACTCGAATGGATAGAAATGCTACCCGCCGCAAAAAGTATGCAGAAATGCCACCATTGAAAAAAAAGGAACTTCTGCAACGACGAAGAGAAAATAGATCTGCCAAGAAAAAAGATGCACGTTTACTCCCGCGTATTCGCAAGGTTCCTCTTGGTTATATAGAATCAGGTGTTTCTTTCCCTGATTCGCATCATGAAAAATTTGATTGTGCGAATGACCCTTCTATGCATAGTGAAATGTTAGGAAGCGAAGCATTGAAGAGCGGTCATGACAGTGCCGTTACTGAGGCGTTGCAATATATGTCCTCTCGCGAGTCTGCTTCTTTTGTTCCTCATGTTCATTTTGCTTCCACTACTGAAATAGCAAATGACATGCGAAATGCAAGTGTTTTTCAGGTATAGTTGGTGATGTCCTTTTTCCTTCTTATTCAGTAGGTGTTTTTTTAGATCACCTTCACTCCCCTACCTACTGGTTCCTGTGTTAGCATTTCAATTCTTTGTAAATGGGTGCATCTTCATTTACAATCTGCAGAGTTTCCGCTTGCTGCTAAGGCTGATCTTAGGAACTGCAAAGGAAAATTTCTTCCAGAAAAAAGAAAAAATTTGACCCTCTCTTCTTCTTCTATTGAACCTGATTTCTGTCTGCCTAGGAGAAAAATTAGGAACTCTGTGCCTGTGGCGTTGCATGAACGACCAGACAATTGCTTTGATCGTTCTCATAACGTCATCCAAGATCTTAACTCTACCAAAGAGGATTTGCTTATGAACTGTCTTTTTGAAAATTCAATAGAATATTGCTCTTCTGACCATGTTTCTGTGAACTCTGAAAAATTTTATCCCTTCAGAGCTACTGTTCATGTAGATCCATTTCGACAACAAAAAAATGCATCTATTGAGGAGCAAAATTTTATGCTTAGATCTGCTTGCTCTGTTCCTGTGATGTCGATTGACAGGACCACCAGTTCTTCTCATCTTTTTGAAAACGTTGTTAAGTACTCTCCTTTGGCCAAAGTTTATATGCAATTTGGTCAGCCGTTGTCTCCTTTCGCTTATGAGCACCAAAGATACCATTGTGAAAAAAATGTACCATCCTCTGAGAACACAGCTTTCAAAACAGCTTCTACATCTCAAGGTATATTTTTTAGACAAAAATTGTTTTCAATGCACCATTTTTGAATATTCTTTCCTTCCTACCACATCCTAATTATGTTCATTGAAATGACACTGGACTATTTTGGTTAGCTTATTTCTTTATACGATTGCAGAAACCACCTCTGTTCAGGTCAGCCGCTCTACCGATTCTGTTGAAAAAAATGATTCAGTCATGACTGCAACAGAAAATGCCCGCTCTTCTGCCTTCTCATGTAAGACACAGCCTTTTACTCGAGAACGTTGTTCTCGACGCCGTGTGAGAAAGCAGGCTCTGGGTTGGCATTTTATTTCTCAACAACTATTTAGATGCCATTGCTATATAGCCTGATAGAGGCACAACTTAGTCCGCTTCTCAGCTGTAGTTTTAAAATAAATGCAGCTGCACCTAAAAGGGGGAGGCAGCGACGCATTTTTCCAATCACTGAAATCCCGCATGAAGCTTTGACTCTTCCAGATGCTCCTGATTGTGAGCACTGTGGAGTCAAGAGGTTCCATTTAGAACCTCCTAACTTTTGCTGCTCTGGGGGAGAGATTTTGATTGTGGCTCCATCTATGCCTTATGATCTTAAACGCCTATTTATCGAAAATGATGAGGAAAGCGCTCATTTTAGAAATAATGTTAGGACCTATAATAGCAACTTGGGATTCACATCCTTCGCTGCAAGATATGATCCAGAGCTGACCAAGAACACGAAAGGTGTTTACACTTTTTGTGTTCAGGGTCAGGTCTACCACTTTCTTAATAGTTTACAGCAGTCAAGCGAAAAACCTTCTAGAATTCAGTTTTACTTTTTTGATTCTGATGAGGAATTAGCAATAAGGGTTGGAAGTTCTGATAAGTTGCGTGAAGGCACTTTAAAATTACTTATGCGTATCCTGTCGAACAATCCTTATGCTAAATTCTTTAAGAATCTTAGGAATGTCCCAAACATTGACAGCTATAAGATTGTTTTGAATTGTTATCCTGATTTAGACCAACGCGTCTATAACCTACCTACAGTCTCTCAAGTTCCTGCCATATGGACTGAGGATGATGATGAATCAGCGGATAGAAATGTTCATATTCAAGTTTATACTCACTCTAATACCAGCCATAGAATCAAGCATTACTATGGCTATTATGATCCTTTGCAATACCCTATTCTCTTTCCTCAAGGTGAATGTGGATGGCACCATGGTGTTAAGAAACTTCGCAAGAGGAAGAGAAATGCAAATTCTTGTGAGGCTGATTTCAACGTTGACCTTTCCTCTGTTGATGACCCTTCACATTTACTAGACTTGGAACGTAGAGGCAAGTGTTTTCCTTGCTGTCTTTGACTATTAGGAGCAAGCATCATAAACTGTATCGACATTAGTTTGACATTTTTTTACTTGTTCTTTATAGCTGTTGAACATGGAAAGAGTGAAGAGGACACTGTATCGGCAAGAGAGTATTATTGTTATAGGTTTCAAATAAGAGAGAACGATGAGTCGATGTTGCTGCACTGTCTTAGACTTCTACAACAATTTTCAGTTGATTCCTATGTGAAGATAGAAACTTCTAGGCTGGATTTTCATAGACACCGACAAAATGTGGTTAGATCAGAAATTCTTCAAGGGGTATTGGACAGTGTTTCTCTAGGCCAGACTGAAGGTTCTAAAGTTGGACGTAGGATAGTGCTACCTGCTTTCTTTATTGGTGGTCCTAGAGACATGAGGCGCCGCTATCTCGATGTAATGGCACTCATACAAAAGTACGGAAAACCAGATATTTTTCTTACCATGACCTGCAATCCGGCATGGAAAGAAATTCAGTGCAATCTTAAGTATCATGAAAAGCCGCAGGATAGGCCTGATTTTCTAGCTAGAGTTTTTAGAGCTAAATTCGAAATGGTTAAGCATGAACTCTTGAATAAACAGATTTTTGGTGAAGTGGCAGCCTGCGTGTATGTCATTGAATTTCAAAAGCGGGGATTTTCACATGCTCATTTGTTACTCATTTTAAAGTCTCAATTTAAGTTGCTCAATCCGGAGTCTTATGACAAGGTAGTCTGCACTGAATTACCTGATCGGCTTCAATATCCTCACCTCTACTCTCTTGTTGTAAAACATATGATTCACGGTCCCTGTGGCGATATGGATAAAAGTTACCCTTGTATGAAAGATGGTTCTTGCAAGAATCACTATCCAAAAAATTTCTGCCCTCATACAACCCATGGTGAAGATAGTTATCCATATTATAGGAGAAAGGATGATGGCAAAAAAGTGAAAGTTCGCAGATTCACTCTTGATAATAGATGGCTTGTGCCTTACAACCCTTATCTTCTTGCTTTGTTCGATTGCCACATGAACGTGGAGATTTGTTCTACCATTAAATTGGTCAAGTACTTGTATAAATATGTGTTCAAGGGGCATGATCTGGTTTGCTTTAGGATTATGGCAGATGATAGTGCTACTGATACTGATGAGATTAAAGAGTTCCAGAAAGGTCGATACATCTCGCCTCCAGAAGCATTTTGGCTCATCTATGAGTTCCGTTTAAACGAGATGACCCCATCTGTCTATACTCTCCAGGTTCACCTTCCAAATCAGCAGCTTGTTTCTTTCCCGAAGAACTCAGACTTGCTGCAATTGTTAGCTAAAGTAGATTTTTCTAAAACCATGCTGACTGAGTTTTTCAAAATGAATGCCTCCAACGCAACTGCTGAGAACCTTAAATGCTTTTATAAAGATTTTCCTTAGCATTTCGTTTGGTCTTCTAAGTATAGACACTGGACAGAAAGAAAGCGTCGAAAGGTGATAGGTAGACTCGTCAGTGTTAATCCACGAGAGGGAGAGAGGTACTATCTGAGGCTTCTCTTAAATCATATTCCAGGACCGATATCATTCGATGATCTCTTGACTGTTCATGCTAAAAAAATGAAGTCGTTTAGGGAGGCTGCTTTGGCACTTGGATTGCTGCAATCTGATACGTACATGGAAGAAACGCTAGAGGAAGCTGTTGCATTTCAAATGCCGTCTTCACTCAGATTGTTATTTGCAACTCTTCTGGTCTATTGTTCTCCAATTGATCCCACAATGTTATGGAGAAAATTTGAATTGGACTTTTCTAGAGATTATGAACGGCATAAACAATATCATGCCTACTCTCCCGCTCAAATTAAGGGATTGGTTCTAGTTGATATTAACAAATCACTTCAGCAGATGGGTACATCCATTGCTGCCTATCAGTTGCCATTAGATGAGCTTGTTAGTGTGGATCATGTTCATTTGACAAAGGAGATAGAAGCTGAAAAAAACATAGACATACTGCCGGAAGATCTATTGATGTCTTTGAAATTAAATTTCCAGTAAAAGTATGCTTATGACATCATCTTACAAGCGTGCTTTGCTTCCCAAGGACATTCATTTTTTATTGATGGTCCCGGAGGTACCGGCAAAACCTTTTTATACCGGTCGCTGCTTGCTACTTTGAGATCGCAAGGTTATATAGCCATTGCAGTAGCAACCTCTGTAATTGTAGCATCTATCCTGCCTGGAGGAAGGATTGCACACTCAAGGTTCAAGATACCCCTTGATTTCTCAAAGAACAGAGCCTGCCAACTTAGCAAGCAAGGCAGTGTTGCAAGGCTGCTCTCGGAGTCAAAACTGATCTTGTGGGATAAGGCTTCCATGGCAAAACGAGAAACTATTGAGCCAATTTTTTCATGACATCTCTAAGCAATAATTTGCAAAAGGATTTCCTTTTGCAGTCATGTTTTCTCAATTCTCCATTGTGGTATAAACTTCATAAACTGAAGTTGACAGAAAACATGCGAGCTATATTAGATCCTCAGTTTTCTGAATTCTTGTTAAGAGTTGGCGAAGGGTGTGAACTTGTGGACTTCAACGGTGAAATAACTTTGCTTAGAGATTTAGTCATTCCTTATTACGATAAAGAAGAGTCCTTAAACAGGTTACATAACTTTAAAAATTCTGGTCTATCTACCTGCTCTTTAGTATATACAGCTTCTAATCAAACTTCTTTATTAACAGGTTACTGCAATCTGTATTTTCAGATTTAACTCTCTATTCCCAGGATCCATATAGAATGATTAATAGATGTATTCTTACTCCTAAAAATAGCTCGGTTGATGAGCTGAATGATATACTGATTAGAAGGATTCCTGGAGAGTTTCGCATTTTCATTAGTTCTGACAAAACTGTTGACCAGCGGCACCAGGGGGATTATGAGGATTTTCTTAATTCTCAAAATCCAAAAGACCTTCCTCCTCACAGGTTAATGTTAAAAGAAAACTGTCCGATTATACTGATAAGGAATCTAAATCCTGTTGAAGGCCTATGCAACAGCACAAGGCTTATATGTAGAGAGCTTGGTCGGCATACTATCTCCGCTGAAATTGTCTTCGGCCAGCATCGAGGAAAGAGACTTCTTATTCCAAAAATACCCTTACAAACTCCCGACAACCAAAAGAATTCTGTTGCATTTATAAGAACTCAGTTTCTTGTTCGGCTCTGTTTTGCGCTGACCATTAATAAATCTCAGGGACAAACTCTCGATTACGTTGGCATTTACTTGAGAGAATCTGTCTTTTCTCATGGACAGTTATATGTAGCCTTGTCCAGAGTTAGAACTTCAGCTGAGCTGAAAATACTTATTGTACCATGAACTTTTGATGGTATAAAAACGGATTGCAAAACTAGAAATGTTGTGTTCAGTGAAGTTTTTAAATTAAGCTAGCAGTTGACTTTTCTTATAGCCAGGTATACTTGCACCAGTCTATGGCTGTGTTTACTTATTGCTAAAGTTTTTATATATACCCGAACTTGTGCATTATAATCATTTTCCTTTTTTTACAGGAATGTCTAACCTCTTGCAAATTGCGGAAATCGTGTCTGATATGAAAAACTGGTCCTGTGTCATCACAGTCCAAGAAAAGCAACAGGTCACGGATTCTTTGGGAACACCAACCAAAAAGCAAAAGTTTGTCTTCTATGATTCAGAGGTTATATTTTAAATTTGAAATGACCATTAATTATTTGAATTTTTTTTTGTTTGTCCAATATATTTCTTATGTGTACTTTTTTTCCGTTTTCTGATAGGCCTCTAAAGTTGAAGGGATAATCTTCAATGCTGATATTTCAAGGATGAGTCCTATGCTGCAGGTTTATAAAAGATATAAGATTTCAAATGCTGATGTCAAGACTATTCTGCCAAAGTTTCAAAGTGTTGGATTAACCAAACAGTGGGTGATCACTTCGAAAACTGTCATTGAAGAGGTTGATGGCAATGAAGACATTATGCCTGTTGGATTCGCTTTCACTGAGTTTGTTGATTTAGCTGAATACATGGATGATAGAAGCAAGTCCGTTGGTGAGTATGCAAACAGTCTATCATTAATATTTTTATCACACAATCGTTATTTTCTCAACCTATCTTTTTTCCCTTTGCAGATGTGCTCGGAGTGGTGATCGGTTCACTGGCCATGAAGACAATCACTAGAAACTCCAAACAATCAAATGCTCAAAAATTTGTCCTTCTAAATAAAGAGTACGTAATCTTTTTATCATACTAGACGCTCTTTTGCTGGCTTTATCGCATCTTTCCTATAGCTTTGAAACATTTTCATCTTGACTTTTATGCCAACGTTAGGTCTCAAACTGTCCTGCTATCTTTATGGGACGATTTTCTGAACAATGAAGGTCAGATTCTATTGAATAACATGCTAAGCTATCCTGTTATCATTGGTTGAAGGCTGAAAGTTAACAACTACAATGGTCTGTTGAGATGCTGTCTTTTTTTGTATTATAACCTTTATTTGTATATCAAGGTTCTCAGTAATAGCTCAGCGTTCATTTTGTTGTTTATTCGGCAGGTGTTTCTCTCTCTACCTGGTTCGATTCTGCATTGCTTGTTGATCCACCGATACAGGAAGCGAGACAGCTCAAGAATTGGTACAATGACATTAACTAACATTTTTTTTATGCACCTTAGTGTCACTTATATCTTTCTTCCCGCATATTTTCCTTACATCATTTTTTCCTTGTAGGGCAATGAGAAATGCTAAGTCAATTGCAGAAATCATTGATGCAAAGAGTTACATTAAATATAATCCTGTGCTTTCTTTAAAAAGGGACCAGAAAACTACTCTAATTTGCAATGTTACCGCATCACAGAAGGTGATCAAATGATATTCTGTTATGTTATTTTACAGCTTCATATCTGTCCATATTTTTATCTGATAAATGTCTATCTTTTTAGACTGCCTGGGTCAAGGCAAAGCTCTCTTTTGAACACATCTTCCAAAAATATTGGTATATGAGCTGTGTGAGGTGTTATCGAGCTACTGCAGCGGACTATGGAATTGAGTTTACCTGTAATTCATGCCAAGAGAAGGGCCCTGCTATGCCTAGGTCCTATATTACTACATCATTAACTTTAATTTAGCTGCTTAATTCCTCTTAATGTTTATGTTATACAGTGTATCGCCTAAGCGCTTGTATACTTATGTTTTAGGTGCCACTTTGACGTTGATTTGACCGATGATAGTGGAGTTATACCTGCATCTATCTTTGGAGATCTAGCAGAAAATATTCTCGCCTTCACTGGCCTTGAAGCAATGGATCACTTTAATCAGGTTATTTTAATTGATCAGCTTTAATAATAAGTGCTATATTTCCTTCTCACTCTCATATCTTCTGTGCTTCTTCCAGAATCTTGAGCTGCCACTTGAGTTTGTTCATGCACCGCTTAAAACAAAGACATTTCTGGTTCACATTAAACCAGTCCAAACACAACTCGCTGATGATAGACAGCGTTATACGATTTTATATTGCGCTGAACTTGAGCCAAAAATGGGTCGCGCTCAGCTAATGCATGAACCAGAATCTGTCTCTCTTTCATCTGACCAGCAGACTGAAAATGAACAGCTATTGACAGCAAGTTGATGAATATACCTAGAGTTGTGATACATAACTATGTTTTCTTTGAATGAACTATTAATTTAACTGAATGTTGCGCTTACAGGACATGGTGGTTCTAGCTCAAAAGTGCGCCTTCGACTCAGTCAAAAGTTTGATGAAACAGAAACTGCCAGCACCAATGACTTTGATAGTCCACATGCTGACTCTAAAAAGAAAGCAAAATTAGGCTGAATTGCCTTCGCTGCCTTTTGCATTGCTCGGACATTAATATTTTTTGGGGTTCTGTAATCTGCACTCCTATGATTAGGCAGATTGTTAATGCTTTTTGGAAATATTGCTCGTCCATTCACAATTCCCTGGCTTTTGTGCTTGGTTACCTACTAAACAACTTTTTGTCATGACCATTGAACTTTGATAATGGCACCTGTATTAAAGTTCTTGCCAGGCTTTCAAAGATTAACTGAAATCCTCCATCTTAGGAAGCATGAGGATTTTCGCAGATATCTTTGGATTCCTGACAATGAACTCCCTTTCTGTGGAACTAACAGCTTTATCTATGCAATATGGGCTTCCTTTCCATTTCTTTATATTTTTTGAATTACAATTGCTACTATCAATTTCGAACTGTCTTTGTTTGAATGAACTCAGCAGGTAATATCTAAATAATTACAACTGCTCAGTTTGAATCGAACTGTCTTCTGTGGATGCACAACTTACAATTACACAAGGTTGCATTTTTTTCAAATCAAATTTAGATATTTAGTTCCTACTCTTATATGTTGGACTATTTGTTCTTCTCAACATGCTGAGTGCACGTTGAAGTATAATTTTCCCTTTATATTTTGGACTGCCTGTTTATTTCCGTTTCTTTATATTTTCTGCAATAGAATTATTATTATCCATTTGGAACCTCCAGCTTTGTATACATATTCATTTATTATGAATCGCAGCATTTTTTACAAATAAAACTTATATATTCAGGTCCTGCTACTTATATGTCAGCCTACCTACTACACTAAACATGGCAAGTACAGGGTGAATTATGATCTTGCCTTCAGGCCATTAAAGCATTACAAATGCATTACTTTACATGCTGTCAGTTGGCAACTCACGCTTAATGTTTCACATTGAATTTTCTTTTCTATTCATTGTTCCTTACCTTCCTCTGCAACTAATTCAATTGTGGTAGGAAAAAGCTTGCACTTAGCATTAACAGCAATGAACACTATTCTCTTTTTACATTGATCTTTTCTTTATATATATGCTTTTTGCCGTTTACAAAATCATCTATACATTTGCACTACCGCTTTTTCTGCATAAGAACTTGTCAGCAGGTGAGTTACTCTGCAATGTATTTCTAATCCTTATCATATGATATAGCCTTGTACTTGCATTTTCTATTAATAGACCACTTTTCTGATTTTCCAACATCAATTTTCCTCCTGATAGTTCAATGGCAGAAACAATCTTAACATCTCTAACAAATTTTTAACCGACAAATAGTTGCTTATCAGCTTGCTATTTTCTACTCAAATGCATCCACAGAGGACAGGTTAACTTTTAGCTCGTTCACCTATATTGCAGCATTTAGAGTTAAATAGCATGGTATTCTTTGACAATGTTTTCCTACTACATTTTTTGAAGGTATTACCTGCTCAGTTTGAATCATTTTTTCATCAGCACCACAGCAATAGAATTATTCTAAGGTTTGGACTGCGGCAATGGCCTATCACAGTCACGGATCATACATTCGCACGAGGCTGGGATGCTTTTTGTGAACACAATATTGTTAAAAGGCATGACATGCTATTACTTCGACATAGCAGGAATCTGATATTTGATGTTATTCACTTTTGTGAACTACAAAAACAAGTTTTTTTGCCTTGGACCGTTCCCCTACCAGACCTGTTGCACATGAATGTCGTTGCATCAAGAGGTAAAAATACCATTGTATCTATCTCACATCCTCATCTATATCATAATTATTTTTAATGTAACACATAGTCACTAATTACAGATGATATCCAAATAGAAGCTGAACAACAGCAAGTTGCTTCCTCGCTGAGGCCAAATTTCTATCAAGATCTATCTGATTCGGTTTGCTTTTATCAAATCTTTAACTCGGCAACTCCAAACAGTTTGGTAAGCTATTCTATGTTTACCTGCATTTTCTTTTTCATCTCAACTTTCTCGCAAGCAATTTCCTTTTATTTTTGCATATCTTCTAATCTGCATCTCTTGATGATAGAAAATTCCGCGCTTTATTGATCACTTCATCAATGGTATCAAGACTCCCATGTTACTTATCAACACTGGACACAGAAGTACTCAAATTGGTGTAAAGCATAAACGCCTTCACCGAAACTGGAGAGATTTCGTTCTTCAACACCAATTGCAGCACAACGAAACTCTTGTCTTTATTCCAGAATCTGAAAATATATTCATTGTTTTGATCTTCGATGACACCGGAGTTGAAAAAATTTTCCCTTGGTATCACACATTCAATATTTATTCAGATGCTTAATGAATTTAGCTGACATCCAGTGTAATTTACCCATCGATTGAATACATTACTGGTAGTTTTCATTTCTTCTTAGCTAAACTAAGCTACATTACTTCTTTGAATTAACTAATTTTACAAAATTAATTATTCAACTGGGCATTACTGGGCATCATTACATTCACCCACCGAGCATCGCGCGGTGATCCCCTCCTAGTATATATAAAGATATTGTAGTAGGATTTAAGGTCGTGGAAGGGGATTGTTGGTTGAAGTCAATTTTATTGCCATATTGACCTTCTATCCTACTCTCTTATAAGCCAAATAGAGTACGTTTAATCAATACACTCTATTATTGAAGAATCAAAATTAAACCCACCAAATAAGTGACAATACATTTGAAAAAAAATCAAAGATAGGGTCTAGTGATTATTTTTGAGCAAACTGCCTTTCAATTCCAAAAGGTGCTCATTTTCATTCTAAATCTACTTGGTTTTTATTGGAAGATAGCTCATTTCATGATTATGGTGTATCAACTATTGAAAAGTAAAACAGAATGCCATTCATGGGCATTTTGTTAACTATCTATGTAAGGATTAAACTACTTCCTAAGTCAAAACAACAAATGAAAAGCAGGATACAAAGCAACCAACAATTTCAACGAATTGATCCACATAAGATAGATTTATTTTGGGGAAGTCAGTACTAAGGCAATGTCTCACAAACTTCTCTGATCACATTTTCTTGTCACCACTTCGTCCCCCGAATTTATTGCACAAATTTGCCTTTGTCCTCAGTGACATGCGCGGGGTATACATATAATATTAAGCTCATCCCAACCAAGTTTTACATTTATAAACTCCTAAATACCCCACACGCGATTTATCGCAAGTATACGAATCGTGAGCGAGTATAGGGTATTAAGGGTCGATCCCGCAAGGAAGATTGCAATTACCGATGTTTTCAAACTCTTTTATTATTTAGACTACCACAAATATAAAATTTATGAAAATAACACTAGAAAGCTCCTAGAGATATGGAATTTCTTACTACTCTTGCAAATGAGAAAACCGGTTAAGTGAATGTTATTATTTTGGTTAGTTATAACGTAATTTCCTTATGCATGTGAAACCTACTCTCGTAGTGAATCAGCTATACTTGTAAATAAGCCATACCTACTCTCGTGGTTATGAATTAAATACAAATTCATTTCTTCTATGAAATTACATGAACAAATCACTTAAGCCACATAGGTGCACCTCTACTCTCGTGAGTGTATTCCCTATGTTTATCACTTCCTTGAACTAGTGTTAAATTCCAATTCTCATTGCAAACTTAACACCTTTAGATAATCACAATTAATGGCCGGTTAATCATGATTAGAAAAGCAAAAAATGATAAATAACTTGCTCAAAATAATATCATCAAATAACCAAGTAAAGATCATAAACAAGATGTAGAAAGTTCATACATACTCTAGGCATAAACTTTAACTAAACATGGTAAAAACAAACACCCAACTTGTATTATAGTTAAACATGAATTCAAATACAAAAGAGAAAGTGATAGGAGAGAAGTCACCCTTGTCACATGAGTTTCAAACTCTCCATCTTTGCTCCTCCAATCTTCCTCCAAATCTAACTACAAATATAAGAAGGATAAACTACTCTACCTATACTATACTAATGAACTAAGAAAAACTAGTGAACACTACATTTTTGGTGAGTTTTCCTAGCCTTGCAAAGTTATAAAAATGGTTTTCCAAGGCTGCTATTTATAGAAGAATTCAAGAGCCAAATGAGTTGTTTTTAGTTGTCATTTTTTATTCTTGAAACCTTTTGAGTTGTATTTCCAACTTTCCAGCCTCTTCTTAATCAGATACAACCGGAATTTCTGGCTGGAATTGAGTTGAAAATATTGTGTGAATGAAGGACAAGTTGATCAGTAATTTGCAGCGTTCAGAAGCGAATACGTGATTAGAAATCGCATATTGAATAGTTGCGTTTTGAGTTCTGCATGTTTCAGATAACATAAAAGTTATAACCCTTTGAGTTAGCTTTCCAATACCTCAAGAATCATCCAATTTGGAGCTCTCTAGACTGAGATATGACCAAAATACCAAAGCCTGGTCAGAGCTCTCTTTTCAACTTTGGACAGCTGAGTTGAATTTCGGTATTTCAACTTTTGTACTATGAAAACGGCTGAATTGAACTTTGATATCTTCATACCAAATTTAGATACGTCTCTTAGCTTCAAAATGGTATAAAGATCATCTCAATCCCATGTATGTAGCCCAAGATATAGCCAAAATACCAACAGATGCCAAAGCTGACTTTTGTTTGATTCTTTTGTCCACAAATTGCATTTCTCCTTTTACACTTCATATTTTATTTTTATCACTTTAAATCATCATCAATCATCCAAATATTTTCTCAATGGTCTCCATTTGATGATTGAATCATTAAACCTGTAAAATATGAAATTTTTACCATAAAAATTCATAAAAATGCAATTTTCACACTTTAACCACAAAATGCATATTTTCACTAGAATCTTAGTTAATTATTTATAAAACTCAATAAAACACACTAAATCTAACCAATAAAGTATACTAAAAATACGTAAAATACACTCTTATCAAATGCCCCCACACTTGAACCATTGCTTGTCCTCAAGCAATAAGAAATATAAACCAACAATGATTCAAATTTTGAAAATAAACATGTATAGC